CCAGTTGCCTTGACTTATTTTTTACAGATATTCTCTATAGCAAGCTTCCTACATTGTTGCAAGGTTTGTGTATTGGTTGTAGCAGGGCTTGTGTGTCAGCTGTAGCCCTCCGGTACTTACTAGTGGCTGGCCCTGCCCCTCGATTGCGCTTCTGTGTTTGGCTCCGCCCCCTGTTGTGAGGGGTGGGGCCTGTTGGTGGTCACGTGATTGGGCTGCTCAGTCTAAAATGCCCAGGCCTATTTTTAGTCCCAGTCCGGCCCTGGAGCCGCTTCCCGGCCAATCAGGAAACCGGGCAGCGGGTAATGACGTGCTGCCCGCCTTCCTGATACAGGAAGTGCTTGTGCTAGGCATCGGAGCATTTGGGCGAGTACGAGTACTCGCCCAAATACTCGGTATCGGCACCGATATTGATACTAGTATTGGTGCATCCCTAGTGTTTACATTATTATGTGTGAGCATCGGTCTATGCAGCTTTCGATTGTGATGACTAGTGAGGGGCTCGTTATTGAAGTCGAACATGCACTGCACCTTGTGAAGCCCTAATTGGCTAAAGCCTTGCACCTGACCAAAGGTCAAGTGCAAGACTTTGCCCAATCAGGGCACAGTACTCTGTAAGAGCCATGATTGGGCAAAGTCATAATGACTTTGCCCAATCATGGCTCACCTGTCAGAAGCCCTACAACTGTAAACAGTTGGGCAGAGCTAGCTGTCACCGCTAGCTCTGCCCAATTGTTTATATGTTGCCGGCATCTGTCAAAATAACATTATGAGGTGGGAGTTCGTCGTGAGTGGACGGGACAGCGGTTGTCGGGTTTTTTTCCGCATTATTTCTATTTATTTTTTTGTTTTATTTTCTATGTTGTTGCCGTCGTGATTGACCCTGGATTATGTCGGTGGATCCATTTTTGAGAGTTTAAAAAAAAAGAAAAGAACTTGCCAAAAACAAATACGGGGACAAGGTGCTTTTCCAGGGGCGACCAACTCCAGCTTTTATGCAAAGATTTTCTACACTATCACTGTTCCTTCTGAGAGGCCTCGGTAGGTAGTAACTGTCGGTATTTAATAGACAGTATAACAGACTGTCATTTAATATCTAGTATATTCATTTTTGGCACAGTATTTTCAAATCAAAGCTTTTGGTGCTCAAAGCAGCATGTCACCTATTGAATCACAACCTGATGACTGGACAATGAAGGAACAGTAACACACTAATGAACTCCTCTCTGTGATCACTCTGCTTTTTCCTCCTCTGAGCATGTTCTTTGTCAGATAAGTGCTTGGAGTTCAGCTAAAAAAAAAAAAAAGGACTGGCCTGACATACTCCCTTTGTTAGAACCATGTAGGGAGCCCAGTGGTAGGAGAGCACCATCCCCTTGCCAGTCACCCCTTTTATGGACTTACTAGGAGTCCTCACTAGTGATGGGCTCGGGCGTGTTCGCAGCTCCATTTCCAGAGCCCGCCAGGAAGCTGACGGCGCCAATCACAGGCACTGAGACAAATTCCGATCTATTAGTGCCCCCCCAGATTTGACTGTTGTATCTTATGTGCCCCCCCTACATATTGTTCCTAGAGTCACCACTGGAGAGGGGTGTTGCTGTTACTCATGCAGAGAACTGGAGGAACAGTAAGTAGAACTTTTAAGGCATTTTCAAGAAAATATCAGCCACATATTATAATATGTTGAAGTACAAGACAAGAAAAGATAAAAAGCTGTGAGACATTGACATGACAACATGAGGTGTAGTGAGGTACATCTGTGTTCATGTCAAACATGCAGAAATGTACAGGAGAAGTTCCTATTTTTAATATATTCCTTCACAAACCTGCAGTGAATATAGATCTATAGCAACTGCTACTACTAACTTGTTATTAATGGTACAAAGTTAACTCTGGTTTTGTCATTCTTATCCGTGCCTCAAGTTTATTGCAACAGTGTCCCATTGTCCCGGAATGTACAGGTTACATTGTTACAGGTCAGTAACACACAGGTGCACGGTCCACCTATCTAGACCTTGCACCTTTAATAGCATGCAAAAGCATCTGTCATATTTCCATCCTGTAAGGTAACCATGGCCAAAGTGCAGTGGTTTATTTTGGTTTTGTGTAACCTGTCAGTCGCGGGATACAGCGCGCACGGTGTATCTAGATCAGTGGTGGTGAACCTATGGCACGCGTGCCAGGGGGGGGCACGCGGGTTGTTTTATTAAGTGTATAAATGTTTGAATATGCATGTTTCCCTATTTTGCCTAAGGCTCCATTCACACTGTACGTAAATCCTGTTTTGCGCATTTTTGCCACGCGATATCGCAAGAAGTCGCCGGCCAATGTTATTCAATGGAGTTGTTCTAATGTACAGCTCCATGTCGCCCGTCGATTCAGCAGGCAGGACCCTTTTTCCCGCGGATGTCGCACGATGTTTCTATTTTTGAATGCAGCCCGACGGTGAAGGTCGCTGGAATGTCGCCCCGAACAGTCGCGCTATCCCGGCCCCGCTTGTAAGGTATGCCGCTTGGTGTGAATGGGGCCTAAGGCAGTGATGTTGAACGTTTCTTAAACCCGAGCGCCCGAACTGCAATACAGTACTAAACTTATTTTCAGCGCTGGCACTTTGAGATAAATACATTGATTTTGTGTTGCAGTTTGGGCACTCGGGTTCAAAAAGGTTCGCCATCACTGATCTAGATTCTGACAGGTTGCGCTATCAACATCGTGTGACGCTCTAGTTCTACCTTTGCAATAGCCACCTTCTCCATTCCTGGCTTGATGGGCTCCCTAGTTCTGCAGCTACAATAACCATTCTCTCCTGCCCTGCCATGCTGTGCTAGTCTCTAGTTCTGCAGCTGCAACACCGATCTTCTGCCTTAATATGCTGGGCCCTCTAATTCTGCAGTTATCCATCTTCTGCCTTTGCCGCTGGGCTCTGTAGCTTGACCCGCCCTAGAGACATAACCCTGCACGGAGCTTATAGGCTGCATTTCCCCGGACTCACCACCACGGAGGTGCCGATGTGCACGATGACCATCTGGATCTCAGCCCTGGGGTTCCGCGGAAGCTCCTCCGCTGCCTGAAGTCAGAGATTTGGGGGGCGGTTTCCCATGGAGGTCCGGCACATGAACTGCCATAGCATCCAGATGAAAGTCACATACGGTTTGGCAACGTTTTCCATCGTCGATTTTAATCGACTTAATCGAATAATTGTTGCAGCTCTACACTCAGTGTATGTTGGAGTAGGCAGCATAGGTGGACATGTTCGTCCCCCAGTCAAAGAAGCACCAGGTCCAGGAGTACTGGCAGTAATTTATGAATAATTTATAATATAATTCATTTTTTTCCTCTTACCAACTGGTTTGGGGGCAGCATTTTTTGGCGCCCCCCTGGAAAGTGCCGTCCTAGGCAAATGCCTAGTTTGCCTTGCAGTAGATACACCCTTGCCAAAGTGGTGATGATCTGTTTGCCTACAACTCAGGTCAAGTAACTTAATCTTTTATACTAGCCATATAAATGTCAATGGCAGCCCCAGACAGCCACTGTATAGCCCTATTATCAATGGGAAGAAATAATCTGACAGGTTTAAGAATCTTCTCCAAACACTACTGTGTGCAAACTACCACCCTAGATAAGCGGCACTAGTGGCATCCGTCTGCCCTCCCTATCTCCTTTGGCCTAAATGTATAGTATGTATGTAAAATACAAAACCAAAATATACCCAGAGGCACTCACGGGTCTTGAAGTGGAGATGAGTTAAAGCATCAGAATTATATTGCTGACATTTTATTGACAATAAAATGCTGTTGCTTGACTTATCCCTGCTAGAAGACTCATAAGTGCTTCTATACCTATTTTGGATATGCATGGACATTTCTTTGTGGATAAGCAGCTGGGCATTTACCTTACGAATAGAGTGTGATGCCTGCTCTTGGGATTGTCATTTATGTGCCGTCAACTCAAACTAGACAGTAGTGCCTAAGCCTTATGCCTCCTATATCTATGGGTACCTCTAGCCTGACTAGTGTTCTAAATTGCTAGAAATGACCAGAGCTGGGCTTATGCCTACTACGCTGATAAACCAGTTGTTTTGTGCTGCCTCTCTCTACTCTAGCTGACTAGCCTTATTACAATAAAAAGACCAGATGCCAAAGAACCTGAAATGATCTAGTCTAGATCAATCTAGAAGAGTAGGGAAAAGTGTGGTCATACTCAAACTGGGTGAACTGTAATTATGCAGTACATAATTTCACAAAGAGAAATATCACAAACTGCACTGGGGCAACAACAATTAGAACAAAGATGTATTGACCTGGCCGACAAGGCAGTAACCTGGTAACTTTTATTATTACATATATATGTGTTAATGAGAATTAATATGCTTTTGTGGGTGGTTGAGTGGTGCACCTGGAAGCCCTGCCCACCTATGGTGACTATGCAGAAATCAGGACGGTAAACTGTTATTATAAAAGCTTAGCATGGCTGCTTACTTTTGAGCTATATCAACTCAGCATAGACATGAGCATCGGTGTTGGCAAGAAGGATACAGTATAAGCTGTGCTTTGCTATGTTTACTTTATGATAGAGCACAAGTAAGGAGACTTCAGGCAATCTGTTCCTTAGAAATGAGAGAACTGTCAAGTCCATGTGCCATTTTGAAATGGAGCTGGGACATTGTCTCAACTTTGATTTAAACCGGCACCTTAGTTTTAAGGGTTTAAATCACTACTAAATTAGGTATTCATTACAGGCTTGCTATTTAAACATGACTTCACCAAGAATCCCTTGCTTGGTTTGGAGATGGTTACTTTCAAACTTCTTATAACAGAAATACTCACCCTAAGATGTTCTGTTGCATACGATAAATCTTCTATACTGAGTGCATGCGCAAAAACAAATGAAGTACAATATGTGAGCTAGCTTTATTGGCAGAAGATTTTATGATTGTTGGAACAAGATTTGAGTAAAGGTATTTGTCCAATTTACATCAAACTGAAATTGCTATTTTATTGCAGCTCTCTGAGAAGTATGGAGAAATCTTCACTGTACACTTTGGATCCAAGAAGATGGTGGTGATCGCAGGATACAGTGCTGTAAAGGAGGCTCTGGTCAACCAAGCTGATGACTTTGGAGAAAGAGCAGATACACCACTCTTTAAACTAACAAATAAAGAAAAAGGTACTCTTAGATAGATCATTTGTATGGATTGTCTTTTTTTGTGAAGATATGAAATGTTTAGAACATATTTGTCTAACAGTGATATCTCAAGCCACAAGTTTAAACTTAGTTGGCCTGTGTGGAGGTGTGATAACCACATTTAGGATGGGCTCTGGCGTGTTCGCAGCTCCACGTGCCGAGCCCGCCAGGAAGCTGACAGAGCGCAGCGCCAATCACAGGCACTGAGACATTTCCCGATTTCTGCAGCTGCGGACCGGGAAAATGTCTCAGTACCTGTGATTGGCGCTGCACGCTGTCAACTTCCTGGCGGGCTCGGCACATGGAGCTGCGAACACGCCCGAGCCCATCCTTAAACCACATGCATGTAGTCATAACTTTTTTTTTTCCTTGCACATTTTAGAAGATTCCTGAACTCATCCAAACCAGTTCTTATTTTGTCCACAATTCTAATGAACAAGTTTCCTATGCATTGGAAAACTACCTAACAAATCAGTGTTATACAGAGGTCACAGGTGCAGTATAGGTTGCTATCAGGGCTCTCACTTGATACTTAATTTACACAGTGAACAAGATTTCATCATTGAGTGGTGAAGGACGTTTACTAATTGTTTACTGTGATTTGCTGCACTTTGGGCATGGCTTTTTGCCTTATTAAATTATGGTCAATGTGCATGATCATACATTGCTTGCTTACATGTTATTATGTGTATTTCAGGAATAGTATTTAGTAATGGAGAATCTTGGAAAGCCCTAAGAAGATTCACACTCTCAACTCTTCGAGACTTTGGCATGGGGAAGAAAACAATAGAAGCCAGAATACAAGATGAATTAATTTCTCTTATAGAAAATTTCAAGTCACACAATGGTAACACATTCTATTACACAGAAATTGATCAAAATCTATGTCTTTATTATAATTCCTAAATGCAGAGGGCAAAGGTCTAGTCTCAAGCATTGCCTGTGGTCTCCAAGCGGCTGATCTAGTTCCCAAAACTGATTTACCATTTTCTGCACTGTGTTTCTGTGTAAAGGTGGCCATCTTCGTAGAAGAGTAGTTATATTTGAATGATAAGTAACTCCCCAGCCATCCTTGGATTGCTCCCAGGACCCCAGCCATTAGGTATAAGGGCACCCAGATTCTACTGCTCATCACCCCCTCCACTGCACAAGGGGCAGTCGGGACCACATGAGGGGCAAGGCCCCATTCGATACCCCCAGAGTGTGGTGCTGTATTTGTTCTGATCTAGAGCCAGCGTTCCTCCTGTCCCACACAGGAGAACTTTCATGTAAATGAACTTTGTTTTCTGAAGTTTCTTGCCTATGTGAAGCAATTTCATGGTGTAGTGGAAATATCCTACTGCTTATATGAACCCATCATAGTAATATTTGGTTTTCTTTCGCTTTTATTTAACATGTTTTAGGGAAACCATTTGACACAGACCTCATAATGAACTGTGCGGTGTCCAATGTTATCTGCTCTATCATTTTTGGAGAAAGGTTTGATTATGATGACCCAGTATTTAAACAGCTTATTCAAATTTTGGGTGCAAATGACAAACTGAGTGGCTCACCTAAGCTATTGGTAAGTATTGCTTTTCATTTTTATTAGCTTAGACCTGTTATAATAAATGTAGACATACTGTATACAGAGTTACACTCCTTTGGACGTTTTATGTTTTACTAGCATAGAACACTGAATCAGAGTGTTTATTTGGCACATTCTGCTAAATATGCCAGTTAAAGCATTTTGTTACCCCTGTTCCACAAGTGCAATTGCAAAAACTATACAGAAATCTTGTCAGATTATACATTCCTGGGGTCTCTGCCTGTGCTGTACTTTTATCAGTTACATTGTTTCCAGCATTCTCTGAGTACTACTTTTATAAACTACTGTTATAGAGACAAGCAGAGTGGGAGGTTATTCTAGTCCTGTCCTAGGTAAACTATAGTAATGGGCCGAACACCCCCGTGTTTGGTTCGTACTCGAACGGCCGAAAAGTTTGAATACGAACTCGAACCTAATGCAAGTCAATGGGGTCGAACTTTTAAAATGATTGTCCCCTTTAAGAGGGCTTATATGCAAGTTATTGTCCATAAAAGGTGTATGGGGGTCCGGGTAGTGCCCTGGGGGACAAGAATTAATGGAAAAAAAAAAAAACTCCTTAATCTGCCTGTGAAGTGGCGGATCTGGATGTATAGAACCTGCTGCAGCAAAACTGACATTTATAAAAAAAAAAAACTTTTTTTTTCTACTCTTAAAGTGTGCAGTTCCCCCTCCCAAACAATACCAGACCCTTTAGGTCTGGTAGGAATGTTAGGAGGGACCATTTAAAAAAAAAAAGTGTAGGGTTCCCCCTAAATGTCATACCAGACCCTTAAGGTCTGGTAGGAATATTAAAGAGGGACCCCATGTAAAAAAAAGTGTGTGGGGCTCCCCCTCAAAGTCATACCAAGCCCTTAATGTCTGGTAGGAATATTAAGGAGGAACCCCACCCCCAAAAATGGGGGGAAAAAACTAAAATTCCATACCAGACCCAGGGCCAAAAAAGTGGGGGGGCGAGCAAGCGCCCCCCCCCTCCCTCCCACACCAGGCCACATGCCCTCGGCACTGGGAGGGTGTTCCCGTGTCGATGGGGACAAGGGCCTCGTCCCCAGAAACCTGACCTGGTGGTTGTGGGGGTCTGCGCGCAAGGGGGCTTATTTGCAGCTGGGTACCCCTTTAATTAAGGGGGCACCCAGATGCCGCCCCCCCCCTTGTGAATGAGTAAGGGGTACTTGTACACTTACCCATTCACTAAAGGATTAAATAAAATAGTTATTAAAAAGTCCAGACTTTTGATAAAATCCTTTAATTGAAAAAAAAAACAAAAGACATGTTTTTGATAAGTCTTTTATTTAAAAAAAATAAAAAATGGATCCACCGACGTAATCCATGGTCAATCGCGTCCAGCGTTGTCCACGACGATGAAATAAAAAATAAAACAATAAAAAATAAATAGAAATAATTTTTTTTAAAACGCCGGCCGCCGTCCCATCCGCTCCCCGCCGACTCCCGCCGCATAATGGCATTTTGACAGATGCCGGCAAAACATAAACAATTGGGCGGAGCTAGCGCTGACAGCTAGCTCCGCCCAATTGTGTAGTTTGCCGACATCTGATAGGCGAGACATGATTGGGCAGAGTGATCATGACTTTGCGCAATCATGGCTCCAAATTAGTACTGAGCCCTGATTGGGCAAAGTCCTGCACCTGACCGGACAATCCCTAGTAAACAACACTGCTTCTCCTTCTCCATGAAAACAATACAGTGAGTATGCATAATCACCTATTAAAGGAAGTGTGTTACTGGCAAGATCCCTGTGATTTGTGAGATTGTGAATCCAATAGTGCCTAAAGCAGGGGTCAGCAACCTTATACACTCAAAGAGCCATTTGGACCTGTTTCCCACAGAAAAACATCGGGAGCCACAAAACCCTTTTGACATCTACAGTAAAATGAAGATAACACTGCCTATATTGTTTTTTACCTTTATGCAATTATGTATATAGGTATATGTGGTCTTAATAACGCACTGGACTCTGGGCTTAGTAACGCTCTGGGCTTAGTAACGCACTGGAGGACTCTGGGCTTAGTAACGCACCCCCCCTGCCCCGCTCCTCATTCGGACTCACCTGCCAAGCCTCACAGCCAGCATCCCAGCCAGACGATGTGCACTGCAGGGGGCGAGGCATGTGACACACACTTCTCCTCTCCCGCCGCCTGTTACTAGGGACGCGGCCGGGAGAGGAGGTGAGTCACAAGACCCGCCCCCTTACTGAGAAGCCCGTCGACAGTGCGGGGCACCCGGGACCCTGCACTGCCGCATATTCCACTAGGGGGGTGCCCAGGACCGGACCTCATTGGGCCCCCCCACAGCCTCAGGCCCCAAGGCCCGAGGGGTAGTTCCGCCCCTGGACAGGGAGCCGCAGCGGAGGGATGAAAGAGCCACATGCGGCTCCATAGCCGCAGGTTGCTGACCCCTGGCCTAAAGTGATATTAAAATTCCCCTGCTCCTGGCTTCCCTCTCCTCCTTCCTTCGTTCTCCCTTCTCTGAGCTAGCAAATGCACAGTTGCTAGAGACTGCTCTTCCTTGTGATCTTTTACTGGACAGGACATTCAGGGAAGTGAAGCTGAGAGAGTTGGAGCTGTTTGGAAACATGATGACTCTAAGTGCTTGTGCAAAAATGTAAAGAAATTCTTCTTTACATTCTGGATTCATGACTGAAAAAGAGTTTAACCCCTTCGTGACGGGAGACGTACAGTGTACGTCCCGTCACAAAGTGGCTATATGACTGGCCACGTACACTGTACGTGCCGAGTTATATTAGCCTCTGTAATGCTGGTAACTGCTGATTCTCAGCAGTTCCAGTCATTAATTAATGCCTCAGTATTGAGACATTCATTAATGAAATAGTTAAAGTTCTAAAAATAATAATAATAATCAAAACTTGCTGCTGTGGAAGAATCGCACAGCAAAAATGTAAAAAGTGTGTCAGTCATTTAGGAACAGAAACTAAAAACTAGCTCAGTCATGAAGGGGTTAATACTACTTTAAGGAAATCTTTGCCATAGTAGTGCACGTGAAACAAATCAGTTGAGAAATGTAAATATTCTATTTGTATTTGTACTAATAGTTAAATTTTTAGGACAAACTTCCAAGGTGCTCCCTTCTTTTTTGCTTTAAGCATTAATCTTGGACCAAGAAGAAAGGAACACCTCCTAAATCTTGTCCTGAAAGCGTAACAGTGAAGAGAAAAAACACCATCACAGACAGTTCTCAATTACTTTCAATCCAATAGTAAGAAGGAGCGAGAGGTGGTGGTGGTGGTGGTGGGGTTGGAGCTCACCTGCAAAACAGTAAGAATTGGACATCTTTCTGCTGAAATCCGTGTTGCCTCCATTCAATGTCCCTTCATTCCAGGGGGTCAATCATACTTCCTGCTGTGTCCCCAGCATGTTCCACTAGTGAATCACTAGTCACTAAATGGGAATTTTAAGGCCTAAGAGAGAATGCACCTGTTGATGCCACAGACTTTGTTACACATTTGGTCCGCGTACAATAGTTTTGAAGAGATGTTATGTTTGCACTCTTGAGGAGAGACTTTACACTTTTGTGATATCCAATCTCCTCAGCGGGCTACGGTAAAATTATTAAACGTTGACCGGTCCGCGGCGATAAAAAGGTTGGGGAGCACTGCTCTAGAGAGCAGCAACATGTGCAGTGTTTGCTCTCAGGCCAACTACATGTACATTGGCCCCTGCAATCTACCAAAAAACAAGTGCCTATTAGTTCTTCCCCGACTGGTACATAGCAGCCACATGTGCAGTATTACCAAAGCAAGCTAGCCATTGTCCAGTACTGACATTGTGATTGTTAACTGTAGTTTTGATGTTGTGCCAGATACTACATGTTCACCTTGGTGGGATCCCTACATGTAGTGTGTTTGAAAGTCGGGGTGACAAGGCCAGGGTGCCACAGGGGCAGGGGCGTATTTACCGTGAGGCAAACAAGGCGTTTGCCTAGGGCGGCACCTTGCTGCTGGGGGGCGGCCGTAGTCAAACACCTTGTTCTACGGTGTGGAAAGAGGGATACAGCACGACCCCGGGAGCTCGTTTGTGTTCGGTGGTGGAGGGCAGTACTTACCCGAAGACTGCAGAGCAGCCGGCGGCCACTGCAGCTCTGTGACTGTATCAGCGTGAAGAGTGCATATCAGCGCCGGGTGGCAGGGTTTGCTGTGCACGGCCGTAGTGAGTGTCTTCCCGGGGGCAGTAGGGGGTCGGGGGGGTATGTGTTGCTGTTGAGGGCGGCCGTAGGGAGTCTTTCCGTGCTTCTTTTGGTGGCTGCCGTTACGAGTGTATTCACGTGCGGCCGGAGAAAGTCTTCCGGGCGGGGGGGTCGATTGCTGTTGGGGGCGGCAGGTTTGAGTGATGCCTGGGCCAGCAAAATAGATAGATACACCGCTGCACAGGGGTACTGGGTGTGTATGGGTATGGGTTTATGTACAAATACCAATGTTCTAAGAATGACCGATTTGTCTCAACAGCTGTTTAACTTTTTTCCTCGCATCTCGACCTTTCTTGGGACACACAAACAGTTAATGAAGAATATGGATGATTTCATTGAGTTTGTTTTAAAGCGAATCAAACATCAGAGACAGGAGTTTGATACAAATGCAATCTCTGGATTTATTGATGCATACCTTTTGAAACAAGAACAGGTAAACGTTTTCCTCACGTAAAGTGAACTTTGTTACATTTTGCGGTTTTGATTCACATTTTTGAGAACCTATATTGGTACTCAGTGACAAGGCACTTGGACCATTCCAAATGGTGTTCTTCACAACATTAAGTTTTTGTAGGGCAATGTCACTTTAAAGTGAAGTCTCTTACATGGCAGTCTGTCTGTGAAAGGTCAGACTCAGACCTCATTTAGATGGGCGTCAGGATCCACCTCAATTGATGGTGGATCACTTTTACAGTGGGTGGTATAGCCAGAGCCGTAGCTAGCTCCTTTTGCACCCGAGGCAAGAACAGAAAATTGTGCCTCCCCCCAACAGACGTGTGATGTCATCCGACACTGCACACATGCGGCATCATGTGACGTCATGCACCCCGCCTCCAGGATGGTGGCGTGCATGCGCAGAATGTGATGGTGGCCAAATCCAAAAAAGCATAAAAATTTGTTGAAATGGAAAAAGAAATTGAGGACACAGAGTCCTCAATCTCCTTTTCTGCAGACTTTCTTCTAAATGAATGTAAAGCACTCAGTACAGAGGCTTCCCATTCATTCACAAACTGGTGATAATAAAATATATACTATCATCTAGTTATCACTGGGTAGAAGCCTCTATAGCGAGTGCTTCCACTCATTGAGAAACTCATGAATGAACAGGAAGTGATGTAAAGCACTTCCTTTTCATTCATAACTAGGGACACATAGTACTATGTGTATCAGTTCCTGGCCCGAGCGGCTCTCTTCTCTCCCTCTTCCCCCCCACGGCCAGCTGCAGCGCCCCATTTCTCATTGGATCCCCGCTGCCTCTTCCCATACAGGTGGGGGGAGAGCAGCGGGGATCCGAGGAGAAGCTGGAACCTGTGCCGCCCCTCTTCTCCCTGCCGAGCTGTGGCTGCCTGGTGCCCCTGTTGCCATGGCGCCCTGTGCTCACCATGGCAACAGGGACAATGGGCCGGCCCTGGCTGCAACCCCCTCTCAGCTGCGCCTGAGGTAAGTGTCTTAGTGAATCTTCATTTTATTCACTCGAAAGGAATCAAGCGCTTTCGGGGCCGCACAGGGTCCCCTTCATCAGGCTTAAAGCCTTGATTTCTTTCGAGTGAATAAAATGAAGATTCACTAAAATCTTTTGTTATTTTGTCGTTTCTGGAGTGCTGGTGACATCCATATCCAACGATTATATCTGATGCGGCGCCATCCGTAGTCATTGCGAGCACCCACATCTCCACATGGGAACTCCGGTAAGGAGTGCTACAGGTCCTTGGACATTTGAGGTAAGTGTCTCACTCACCTCGTCGTAGCTACAGCCCTGGGTATAGCAGCCGAGCGTACAGGAGGCAATACTGATGCCAGATGAATGCTTTTTTCCCCCGCTTTTTTTATACCAATGAGCATTTTCAGTTACAATACTGCGCTACAACTGCATACCCACCCGGTTGCAATGGTCGTGTTGGCAAGCAGCACTGCCTGCCAAACATGACATGCTGTTAAAAATTTGCTTCAGCCGCAGCATGTATACAGGTCTAACTATTTGACTCCTAGGGTGGCGGTCGAGGGCTGTAAAAGCATGGATCGACTCTAATAGTTACTCTATTAGTGTTGTCCATGTGCAGACTGTCCTAACAAAGGGTTAAATATCTCAAGGCTCTGGTGATACATTGAATGCGAATGCGCATTTAAAAAAAACTCCCTCACGTTTTCCCTCATCTGCACATTGCCATCTATTCCAGGTAATAGATGCTTCCTATAATGCTCTAAGTATAAACCTAGGAAAGTAATGAGTGATAACCTTGTATTTTCTTCATATAACACACCATGCATCACAAGCCCACATTTGGTTCCTTGCAAGATCCCTTTCTCAAGGCAGAAAGAAAAAGGGATCCTGCAAGGTCCTGAAAAGTCTGTATCTGTACGGATGTACAAGATCAAGTCGGCGTTTACCAGTGTGCAGCTGCATCCTGTTTTTGAGCTGTACAGGCAACTACATGCACCAGCTGCCCCTCGCGGACGCAGGTTTCTGCATTGACATGCACAGTGTACGACCGTACATGTCCATGTGAATGAGGCCTAAATGGGGATAGATAATCTTTGACATGACAGATTTATATTCTCTTCCTCCAAATATTGCCATGTATTCTGATGATTTTAATTTAAAATGTGACTTGGAAATGTGATTGGATTGTAAAATTCAATGTTTAATATATAGAGTGTAAGTTCTGTTAAGTGCCATTCACCATAGAAGAAGAAATGTGGGAAAATGTGCGAATTTTTTATTTTTTTGTGATCTGGGAAATACACAGCTAATATGCTAATATGCCTAGAGTATTAACTTTCTCTCTTTTGTTCACGCCCAAAGCTCCTCCATATTTGGTCAAGTATTAAAAAAGTGAGATGATAATAAATAAATAAATGAATAGTGTCTGAATCATTTGACGTTTGTGTTTTTAGGCTTCAGGACAAGCTGAGAAGTACTTTGATGATGAAAATCTGGTGTACTCAGTTCTGGATCTCTTTGGAGCTGGGACAGAAACAATATCTACAACACTACGCTGGGGCATGTTGTTGATGATGAAGTATCCAGAAATACAAAGTAAACCAACTGATGCCATTTTGGGGAAATGTCTGCTTGACCAGCTCCACCCCTAGTTACTGGGAGACATGTCAATACTCGGTCATTGACCGAGAGCCCAACAGTGTCAGGAGAGAGGAGGGGACCCAGCGGCAAATCTCATCCCGCCGGGTGAACGCCCCCTCCTCTCTCTGCTTGCATCCATCACCAAGATGGCCGCCGGCAGGTGTCAACAATACGGCAACGTCACACGCATGCACGATGACGTTACGGCGGGGGTGTCACTCGGTCTCCGCCCCCGGGTGACACCCAGCCTCGGGATGCCCCTGTCTTCATCCAGACAACTTTTTTTCTTAGATTTGGACAGACTTGAAAAAAGTAAATGTCACTTTACTTCCACTCCCATTGACAGACTGTGATAACGAGAAAAGGAATAAGGAAAGCTGTTGTCACGGGGTCAGGAAGCCAGAGACAGTATAAATAACTTAAAAGTGGTTTCTCTGCCCCCCTGGAGAGATTTTCCCCTCACTTCCTGTCCTGACAGAAAGTGAGGGGAAGTCTCTCCAACAAAGACATGGCCTGCAATAAAAACCTTTCTCACTCTATCCCAAGCTAAAAAAAAGCTTTTGGCTGGAGTTAAGACCTTAAATTAGAAATAAGTATAGGTACCTAGAATAGCCAAATCTTTTGATGCGGATAGAGCAGGAATGGTTAGAGACTCTGTTTTTATTGCTATGTATCTGGTGACCACAAGTGAAGAATGGAGAATCCCTTTGATGGGGATACAGACAGCTTTCCCTTTTAAAGGAGAAGTATTGGGAGACTAAAATGTATTCTTCACAATACTTAGAGCCAGCGTGGGACACTGCAGCTGTCACACACCGACTAAAGAACGAGAGCTGAGCGATCACGAACCTCTGATTGCTCAGCTCACAGTCTTCTCCCTGTAGAGTGCAGTGACGGTCAGTCACCACCCCCTGCAAGGATTCCCTCCTCCCCTCTCTGTTCCTCCAGCGCTCATTGGCAGGACAGACTGAGGAGCAGGTGGGCACAGCTGCCTCTAGAGAGGCAGAGCCAGCTGTCAATCAGGCAGTGGGGTAGATCCCAACAATATTGTCGAGATCTTTCCTGTCTGCATCGCGGCTCTGAGCTGTCAGCAAATAGCCAACTAGATGCTGACTTTGGGTCACAGTAGTAAATTAGAAAATGTACTCCTTTGACCCAAAAGCGACCTAAAGCCAAAAAAAAAAGGAGTGGCTAGTTCTCTTTTAAAGAACCCTTTACTGAGACATAACCATGCTGCCATTGCTCACCTCCTCCTGAAAATGCTGTTTGCCTGGCTTTCTCTATCTTCAATACTTTAATAGCCTCTAACCAAGAACACAAGAGTGCAGGTAGTGGATTCAGAACTCACGATCTGCCTACTTCTTCCAGGTTAGTGAATGAAGCCATGGAATTGGCATGACAGCCAGGCGATTCATATTTTCAGAAGATGTAATCTCTGGTGGCCTACAGTAGATAATCTTTCAGAACAGATTTCCTTTAACCCTTTCTGGACTAGTGCTCTTGAATATGCAGATCCCCTGATCAAATTTAGCAGCGTTAAAACTAATGTGCCCGCCTAAATCATTTCATTTTTTGTAAGGTTATATAAGGCTTTTATTTGGTACAGTGTTTTAACATATGCCCTGCTGAGATTTCTTTCTTTATTATTATATGATTTCACAAATATGTTTCCAGACAGATAATAGTTTTCATTATTTTACAAAAATTTATTTTTTTACTTTGTACATTAATTTATCACTGTAATTATAACCATCCATTCAATCAAGTGATAGCTCAGCTGGCAGGTTTGTTTGTAAACAAACCCATGTGACTACTATGATTGGCTGTCAGTTATCATATGATCGGCAACTGCAACCAATAAGCATGATTCCCAGTTGTCAGTGTGAGACTACCACATGCTACAGGCTCAGAGTTTCACAATGGAACGTAATGTTCCTCAGCAAGGGGCGTCATTCTGAGAAAAGATAATCTTCATATTGTGGAAGTGATTGAATTCTGTAATTTGTAAACTATTCAGCAGATTTGAAAATGGTCATCTTTTCATTAAGGTAAACCTGCCACAAACTTAGTTTGTCTGGGTTACATTGCACCTTATTGGTTTAAATAAATCTTTTCATAACTTTTTCAGGGATCTTCTGACAAAATCTGCTTTTTTCTTTATGTGCTTTTTTTGTCTGGTCATTGCACTGCACTCTTTATGTAAAAAAAAAAGGAAATAATGAGGCTAATGAGGGGCTTCCATTACTCTCAGCAGTCATTTAAAGGCCATTGTGGAGAGGATTATGTCATTTATTTACTCTTATTTTGTAGAAAAGTTACAAGAGGAAATCCGGACACATATTAAACAAGGACAGATGCCTACAGCCGATGATCGAAGAAAAATGCCTTATACTGAAGCAGTGATTCATGAAATCCAGAGGTTTGCTAATATCGTTCCTTTAAATGTGCCACACACAACTCCAAGTGATGTGTATTTCCGGGGTTACTGCATACCAAAGGTGAGTTCCGGAAACCCCCCCCATCTATCAATAATACAGTCATACACCAAATGAACAGATGCGATACTAAGGCTAGCTAGTTCTAGGAAAGGAATGTAGGTCTCCTACATTGTGATTGTACACAGTTACAAAACTCCCATTTTAATTTACATGGTTGATAAATAACAGTTAAATTACATTATAGCTTGGCAGTTTCAATAGTTAAACATCTTCAGACCAGAAATCCCAGTACTGATAAAATGCTATAACCATTATGAAGCCAAATTACCATGTTAAGCTGCCATAATACATTCTTTATAATGTGGAATAAACAAATTATTAGGCATTAAGGTTACAATGGAGTGACACCTTTATTATGTAGATGGGTGTGCAGCGCTCGGGGTCATCAATAGGTGAATCAAATAAGTGTTAGCAAAACAACATGTGATCAAAATCTGAATGAGTGTTTGCAACCATAAAGGTATACTAAAGTGATAACCGGTGAACAAAAAAAATTAAAATAAGAATTTCACTTTGTGCAAAAGTGCATTAAATTAAAATAAATTAACTATACCTTAATAAAAATACTATGTTGTAATCACACGTGTATCAAGTACAAACATTAATGAAAGTGGTTAACAACAAATTAGCTCAAAAATATCAATAGGAGTGATGAATCACCATGTGAATCCAAAAATAATTATAAAGTTCAGGTATAGATGATGTATTGATGATGAGAATAAGCTTCAAAAACAAGTTCAATCCTTCTCCAACACCAAGTGTCCACGCCAAAACTCCCCTCTGGGATGCGGACTCACCAGACCCACGGTGTTTGTAGGCAAAGAGAGACGGAAAGCCAATTAGTAGTCCCACGGCTGTCTCGTCAGCGTCACATGGATCAATAATTTAGCGAAAAAAATAAAAAGGAAAAAGAACTCCTCATAGTGTAGTCGACATAAACGTTTATTAAACAAAAAGTAGTCACTTACAGTTAAAATCGATTAAAACGGCAGCTCACACGCAGTGAGTAGATATCCTGTACTTCCTGGTTTTTCGTGGTATTGAGAAGTATAGCCCCCACCTTTATTATGGCCTGGTGGATGGGGGCAGAAGAATAGCCTACCAAAGGAAAGTTTCACTTCTCAAGAGGCATGAGAAGACACCCAACGAGGCCAGTTATCTGAAAAATGAGAACCTTCTAAATTGTCCTTGTAGATTACAAAATGTATCAAAATAATGTAAATTGAGGGCTGTCTAAACAATCCATCCAATGTGTATCTAACCAGACCAGACCTTGATCTATAAAGTAGTTGGTACATCTAAAGCAGCTTGTACCATCAAATTGTAGGAGGGTCAGATGTGTCCATATTTGCTCACTTTCCATGCATCTATGGAGCACAAATCTCACCCAATCAATATTTTCTCCAATGCCAACTAGGAGGATAGGAAATCTGGTCATGTAATGTCAGCATCTGCTTGTGGATGTGGTCACTGCAAATGCCTGCTTACATTTAGGTACATATTTGTTTCCTGCAAACCTGTGATTTGTCCATTCCGGGCAGAACAACACATTTGCTTTAATGCAACATATACCCCCAGCATATACGTAAAGGAGAATTATGAGGTGAGTGATTTTCACTCAGCCTCATAATCTGAGCCGACCTGTGACAATGAAACTGTCACTGGTCGGCTCAGTAGATCGGGAAGTGAGCGAACACATACCGGTGCTCGCTCACTTCTCGATCCGGTGCCGGCAGAGAGCCGTGACAGGGGAGGGACTGGATTCCCCCCTCCCTGTCCGATCTTCCAGCGCTGACTGGCAGAATGGACGGGGGGAGGGGGCGGGAACTGAGCCACCTGTCACTCACGCAGCTGGGTGGATCCAGACATAATTGTCGGGATCCGTTCCAGCTGCGGCGTCTCAGTATACCGCGAGCAGTAGCTCGTGCTTATACTGAGCTTTGGGTGACGGGAGGACGCTAGTTTGTGTCCTCCCGTTACCCTAAGGAGAACTATGGGGAAAAGCCCTAACCCCATAGTTCTCCTTTAACTTTCTTATGTTCTGAAGGCTGACTAAATATACCATCGACGTAAGGGGATAATGTTGTATATACGTGATTATTATACTTGTAATTCTAAATTTGTGGTATATTATATTAATTGGCCCTGTGCTGTGCTCTGCATCGGGGCAAGGATAGAATATCACTACACAAGTAAGCAATTCGGAATAGATTGGTTGACCATTTTTTGTACAGGGGCTCCATTGACATTTCAGATCTTGGATGTTGTACAATTACACATGAGGGGGTGATAGGGAAAAGAATAATGATGAAAGAAGTAATGTGCTTAGGATGATTAGAAACCCTATCCCTGCTGGGTTGGAACAGAGATTATGGTTTGTTGTCCCTTTATTGAATGTTATGCTTTAGGTGTTACATTTTGGCATTTATGCATCTGGACCAACATCAACATAGCAAGTATTTATTTGTATTTCTGTGGGCTAATTATTGTTAATTTTATTGGCTGGACCAGTGTTTTTTTTTTTTTTTACTGATCACAGTTGCCACTTCCTATCAGGTCCTCTTACTTGCTGTTGTTTATTTGGTTCATGATGTATGCACGGCAATGCTGGGTGGACAGGACATTACATGCTTGCACACAAGGTACCTGTAAGGATTTTGTTTGTGATTTTAATCATGTTCTTTGATGTTTGATGGTGCTTGGCTATGCACTAATAACGTTTTTTGTACGATTTTCAAATTTGGTCTGTCCCGATCTCTGGTTAACCCTTGACTGTCTCCTCTTTGAAGGCAGTCTATCTTGGTTTTTTATAACGTGTAAGGATTGTATATATTCTCCATCTTTTGATGTTGTTGAGGAGTGGAAAGCACAGTACTCTACAAACAAAACAACAATACAAGTATATTAGGTCTTCTGCTCTTCTCAATCCCGGTGTCCCTGCCGCATGTTTGATCAGAGGGTATACGCTATCTTGTTTTCCCTCTGCAACTTGAATCCGTGTTCCCCCCTGACACGGTTTTTTTTCCCCATGGTCCCCAGAGGAAGCACAATAGCGAAATGCGCCAGCAAACGCCTTGAAACGCAAGCCAGTAAGAAAGACCATAGTGATGGATTACAAGGAGCAATGAAGATGAATTTTGTATATGTATATATATTGTTTTAAAATTTGTATATATGTACCATATGTACTATGGCTGCATAACAAGGACATTATGGTGGAGACTTTATCTAGATTTTCAATATGTATGTCAATTTTCCTGTTTATAGTAAAATAGTTTTTTTTACTACACTTGTGCAATGGGTATAACGTCTCTTTAAGCCCCATATTCTATCTTTGTGGTTATTTATGATGTATTGATGTAGCAGTTTGTGGTTAGTTATGGGGGTATTTAGGGTCAGTTTACACCAGGGGTGCCCACCATTTTTTGTATTGAGATCTACTTTTCAAATGAGCAGCCCAATGAGATCTACCAACGATCTACCTCCCTCCTGCGTTCTTAAGTCAATGGCATGCTTTTTGAAGAAGTCCAGACGAGACGAAACGAGGCAAGGGATTCCTCTCCTACGTATCCGGTGATTCTACTAGTTGAGTGTCCTTTACACTTAAATGTTTTGAACCATCTAATATCCTGTAAGTGTGAACCTTCTTGCGTTCAATAAATTTGTTTAACAACTACACTTAGGATTCTTTTTCTCCTTTTCTTCCCTCTATATTATACTGTCTGATCCCGCTATCTATTTCACCTGGTGGGCTGGCTCAGCCGCCACTACAGCGGCGAATGACTGGGTAATTGTGGAAGAGAAGCAACCATCAACTTACTGCAGCAGCTCCGTGCCGGAGCATAGAAACATTCAGACTGCAGCCTCACTACTGTTACTATTTTTGCTTTCCTGAATCCAACTAACATTTCCAATAACAGAGAAGTAGACTATAGATGAGACTCTGTAATCCATATACATTTTTTCTTTTTATGCCTCCCGTTTAGAACGGTTATGGTTTGAGTGGCTCCGCTCCACTGACATCGATTTGTTGTTTCCCATTATCGTTTATCGTTTTATCGTTTATCGTTTTTTGTCGAAAAACATATTTTTTCCTTTTGAGTTAAGGATTTATTCATCTTTCACCTTGAGTGGCTCCGCTCCACTACCGCAGATTGCTTGTATATGATTACATCTTTCAAATATGATGGACAACTTGTAGTTCCGCTCTAGATCACCATCTCACTGTTTTATTGTCTGGCACAATAATTCATAGGTAGATTTCACTTAGACGGCAGTCCACAATCCATTTTTTTGCACCAATTTCACTGTGCGCCTTTGGGTTCACAGTTTATACTAGACACGGCTATTTAGCACTTTTTGATACTTTTCAAGTCACTTCCGCTTAAAAGCCATCACTCAGTTTTTTCACATACTTTATTTATTAGCATTTGTGATCACACATCCACATTTAGTATATACACATTAGTTTTTTTTATATAGATTGTGTTCATTTAATTGTATTATCACCTTTCACCACATCGATTTATATAAACTATTGTTTTGATGATATATCACGGACAAACCAAATAGATTTTGAACCGAGCGCAACATACAAGCCTTCCATTTTACATCTATACACACATTGTTGCGGCTGGTGCCGACATACCTACTTCCAGCGCAAACTATTTTGTTTAATATAATGGCATGCCAGCCATGCAGTGCGTTCGCCTGCACCAAAACGCAGCACAAAACGACAAATTCCTTTCTGGTACCGTTCTGGTCCAGTGTGATCAGAAAAAATGCTGCGTGCGCTATATTTTCCGATCGCACTGGATCGGAATGCAGGCATTGTGGTTTTCCGGTTCTGGTGACTTGAATTCACAGCCACGGCCCCTCCCAGCCCAGAACGCAGGGGGAGTTTACCATGCCATACAGTGCATTCCAGCAGCTAACGCCGCTGGAAAGCACTGCACTGTAACTCGTGAGAACAAACCCTAAACCCTGCCCTAAAACATTGCATTCTTTGATTCAGGCATTATCTGAGTTCAGGTGCGGGAGGGGGTGTGGCAGTGCATTGAAATGAATGTCACCATAGCCATGTCCCCCACCGGTATTGCAAGCGCCCTCACCTGAACACGTGGCACATTAGTGCCTGCGTTCCGTTTCAGTGCAATCTGCAAAATTAGTGCAGCATTTTTGCAGATTGCACTGGACCGGAACACAGGCACTAATGTGCCACGTGTTCGGTTGATCGCCCCTGAGCGCAGGCAAACGACCGGAGTGCAATACAGTGCGTTCCAGAGCCTGACCACTCTGGAACGCACTGTTTGTGGTGCGAACCAGCTCTAAGGCCTCGATCACACCATCCTCAGTGCGTTCTGGCGCTATTGTGGCTAGAACGCACTGGATCGCATTGCGGCCGGCTCATCCAGTCCAGTCAGAAAAAATGCTGCAAGCACTATTTTTTTCTGACCGGACCGCAGGCATTCATTTGCTATGCGTTTCCGTGTGGCCGATCGCATTGCAGCTGGAGAGCGTGGCTGCGGTGCCATTCATTTCAACACACCGCCACACCCCCTCCCTCCCCACAACAAACTGAGCCGGCCGCAATGCGATCCAGTGCGTTCCGGCCACAATAGCGCCAGAACGCACTGAGGCTGGTGTGAACGAGGCCTTAGAAGTCTCAACTACGTAGCCCCTTAACTATACTGTCAAATACCACTCAACCTGTTAGTTGCCAATAGAACCTACCTGCTTCTGGCTCTTCAGGTGTGGTCCCAACATGCTTGATGCTGCAGACTGGGAGGAGCGGGTCAGATGTGCCCAAAGCTGCGGGCTGGGAGAGGCCAGTCAAATGTGCGGCACACTGAAGAGAGGGAGGAGCAGCCGATGTCACTACGTGTGGGAGGCAATTATTATTGGACGCTGACGAAGAGGGGCGGGCCGAGTGTGCGGACCAAGTGTCTCGGTGTCTGTGCGGGTAGCGGCGGCCACCTACGCTACGTGCGTTAGGAAAGATTATTGGCCGCTTCAGACAGGAGGGGAGAGCCGAATGTGTCGGATGCTTTAGCGCCCGACACATTCGGGTACACAGAGCGTGGGACAGGGAGTCGACACATGATCTACCAGCGATAGCTTTGCGATCGACTGGTAGATTGCGATCGACCTTATGGGCACCCCTGGTTTACACCATAAGCAGCGTACTTAATTAATGATACATTACCGTGTGCTGGTGTATTGCATTGCCTTTCATTTGAATAGCACCCTAATGCAGCTCATGGCTAAGTGAACTGGGCGTTAGTGTGCACTAAACACATGGTATCATGCATTTAGCACACTGCCTATATTTTAAACTGGTCCTTAAACATGTTGTTTTGTATTTGTATGGCTTGAGAAAAGAGCAGAAAAAATTAAAATAAAAAAGCTATTTTATATGAAGTACTTTTTGAAGTCCATGGTGTAGGACACCTTTTGCTGCAATGTGTTCTAGTTAATCCTGTGGGTGCTGATGGGTTGGTGACTATAGCCTAAGGCACTTTGAGACTGTTTGGCAATGAGTATATCTTTGTCACTCTGCTTTCTTTTCCTATCAGCAAGTTCCTTGTGTGCATATGAACCTGCACTGCTTCTTTTTCCCTTTGAACTCTACTGTACAGAGACTGCAAATGCTTATACCAAATCAAATGGAAGCGCCTTGCACTGCTTGTGTTTAAAAAAATACATTTAATGACGTATTAATAAATAACTGCAATAGTTTGTGTATTTTATATCTGCTTAGTGTTTAGCTGTAAGTATTGTACAATGTGCTTCTTCTTGCAGGGTACAGAGGTAATTCCTTTCCTCACATCTGTTTTGTATGACAAGACTCAGTGGGAAACACCTTATGAGTTTAACCCAAATCACTTTTTGGATGCAGCCGGCAAATTTGTAAAACGAGATGCATTTATGCCCTTCTCTGCAGGTAGGTCACCAGGATTATTACATCATACTTAAGATTATAATCAACAATTTCTATGGCATTACACTGAGAGATCTCCACCCCAAACTATGCCTGGTCTGTACGAGGGCAGTGTGGTGCTCATATCCTTCAAGCTCTTTGTGTAGATGCTAAACACACAAACTGTGTCAGCCTAGGCATTTGTATCGCCCCCTGACCCCCGAAGGCATGCGGTGGGCCCCCAAAGGCAGGGAGGGCTGACATTTCAATCTCGGGGTGGATTCTTAGCCGGGTTGTGGGATGAGAACAGTAAATTGGGCACCAGTCACTTTAAGGACTTTTAAATGCTTGTACAACAGCCAAACTGGGAAAGTGTGTATAGGGCTTCAGACAACCATAGCAAAAATAGACTCCAGACTTACCAATCCCTTCCAGCTTTCACAGTATGGCAAACTTTAGTTGAGCAGAGGAAGACACTATGTAGTAAAACAACAGCTGAGAAGGAGATATGCAACAGCTGAATAGGAGATCTTTCCTGGGAGAGACACCAGATGTGTTCCTGAGGTCAATGCCATTCTAGACTATCTGGCACCTCTAGCAGTCATATGGCTCCTCTGGTTCTCCTTCCCAGATAGTTCCAGATCCAAGGCCTAGTCAGCATCTCCAACCTTGTACATCCCACCCCCAGGCTAGGCCCAGGGGCGGACTCCCCTAGCACATGGCAATTCCTGAGTATTTATGCACTTTCCCAGCATGCACCATTGGCCATGAAACTCCTAGTGATTGGCTGGTGAGGCATAGACACTCCTAATGTTCCCCTTTTGGCTGCCCCACTCTGTGGCAGGGTCACACCCCACTCCAGGTAGGTGCAATCAATTGTTACATAGTTACATAGTATTTGAGGTTGAATAAAAACATATGTCCATCAAGTCCAACCTATTTGTGTATGTGTGTTTGGTCCTATTGGTGTGTAGCATGTATTGTTGAGCAGCTAGAAATAACGAAATGACACCAGACTACAAATCCGCCAGACTGATTACAGTGCTAGCAACACTAAATTTAAGCATCCACTCCACTTATGTGGAAGGGGCTACACATTATTTACCCAGTGCGGAATCTGCCTATGTGTGGCTGTAATTATTTCTACGATTGTTTATCCTTTAGACTCTATGAATATATTGGGGCAGGAGCATATCATTGCTACCAAATGTGCTGCCTCTATGTGAACTTAGCAGTGATGCTCACAGATATAAGTTTGTGGAAACCATTGTGGTAAGAATTGGAAACAATCTGGTGTTGTGCAACATTTCTAGACACCCCATGACCTACTGTTCTCAGTGGGGTAGAAGCAATCAGCCCTTTTGGATTTTTATTATGATTTTTTCTAACCCCAGCAACTTCCTAAGTGCAACTTTGAATGATACATGCATGCAAGTTTTTTCAAAAGATCTTTTGTTAGATCATACCTACGAATATATATGGGTAGTGTTAGAGTAATGTTATCATCTCCCATCACTGCTAGTCTTCTGATGAACCCTGTTCATACCATTATAATTATACTGTATTTCCCACATTCACACATTTGAAGTTGCAGCTCAAATTACAGCCATTCTCAAGAACAAGAAACAGCTTTACCCACGTTTTCATGGTTTTTCCACAATTGTTCTATGCTACTCCCTTGCCTAACATGCTGTTGCTTTTACCAATGTTTTAGTGTTTCCCAAGAAAGCCAATGAGGTTATTGACAAATTATACATTTTCAGCACCTGGCAGGTATCTAGTAGTAGCAGTTCACAGCACAATTCAGTTGTTCGAGAACATCTACCATAAGATCATGCTTACCTCTACCACGCCATTCCCTTGATAGATTTATTTCCAGATTATTGAACATTGGCTAAGCATATTATGTCATCCTGAATTGACTTTGTTCCCCCAGGAAGAAGAGTTTGTGTTGGAGAAAGTTTAGCCAAAATGGAGCTTTTTTTGTTTTTTACCGGCCTTCTGCAAAGCTTCACATTCTACCCACCTCCAGGAGTCTCCAGAGAAGATATAAGTCTCAAGCCTGGCACTGGATTCGTTTTATTTCCTTTACCACACTTAGTATGTGCAAAGCTTAACTTCTAGTCAAGATCCACAATTCAGAAGTGACAAGAAAAGGTCTTAAATCCACTCAAGAATGGATAAAGGGAATGTGTAGTCATTTACATTTTTCTTTTAAGATAAAGATGAAGAACATGTTGATGTAAATAATTTGGTCAAAATGAGTTATTGTCTTGAAAGCTTGTTTTATGCATAATGGGCAAGTAATGTGTAAGTAAGGAGGAAGCAGTTATTTTTGCTCAGTACATACTGTATGTAGGATCTGCTTCATCTTTTCTCAGTTCTTTACTCTGTTTTAGTTTACTGCTCCTTCTTACCATGCAATTCTGTGAATCTGCTGACCCGCTTAAAACAACGCAGTTCTTCATGGTATAAGATTGGCAATTATCCAGCATATGTGCTTTTCTCGAAGTAGCTACACACCACATTTGAAACACAGTATTACCCAATCAAAGGCCAATACCATTTCTATGCTTTGAAAACCCTGCTCTCCTTCCATCAGAAAGGGGAACCCCAACTCACATTGCAAAAGCATAGCAGATGCAGCACATTGGATTCTGCACTGTTTTGGTTCTATGATTTACTTGGACAACTATGACATTTGACCAATAGGTTTGAGTTTACTAATGTACAATATATCAGGGTCGGGCTGTCATTTTTAAAAGCCTTGGCAAACAAAAAAACTGTGTATTTTATTTTTACATGTGTTTGCTTATTTTGATGGAGCACTTATATAGCCGGTTCACGTGCACTGTGGAAGGCCAGTTTCAGTTGCACAGGCTGCAGTGAATATAGATGGCAAAGGCATTTATTACATCAGTTTTAATTGCTAAACCAGGGGTGGGAAACCTTTTTTCTGCCAAGGGCCATTTGGATATTTATAACATCATTCGGGGGCCATACAAAATTATTAACTTAAAAATGAGCCTGCTATATTTGGTCAAACATTTAATTAACTCCCCCCTAATGTGATGACTGGAACTGCTTCTCTTTGGCGATTTGTAGCTAAGCCCACAGTGGTAAATGATGAGGGATTGACTACAGGGATCTTGTCACTGACAATGCTGCTAAAAGTCAATCACTGAGCTACAAATTGCTGAAGTATTAGACGGCGAATCCATAGAAAATAACTGGAACTGTTAGTGAGAAATCCTTTTTAAAAAGTAGGGATCACTGAGAACAAATTGTTCGACTGACATTAACCTAACAGCTGATGCCAATGATACAGCAAAAGCCAAATTGACAGCTAACCCGTGCAGTGTATCCATGGAGCACATTTGCTGCAATTTAATCTGCAGAAGAGCCAGAGGCACAGTGAGCCTCATGCCCCCTTTGCAGACTGCCCTGTATGATGATGGGACTTCTATACACTGTGTCACTGAACTCACTACCTTGTCTGGCGATCTGATCCCTTTACTCTCTCCCCTGCTGCATTCTGTTTGTGACACCGCTGAGCTCCAACGTTTACAGGGCTGGTGCACGGTGCATTTTACTGCCTTCCCCCGGCACCCACAGGTGGCTCTGGCATTGCCTGTAGAGTAGCGCCGGAGGGGGAGCAACAATATAATCATATTAACAATATGATCCGCCACTGGGGTAGAGGAGGGGTGGGCTGGGCCGAATGTGTCTGAGGCTGCAGGCAGGGAGGGGCGCATCGCCCTTTCCAGTCTACAACGTCCAGTGACTAGGGTAGCCGGTTCAGAGGGCCAGACCTAATGATCCTGCAGGCCTTAAACGGCTGCAGGCTGGACATTCTCCAACCCTGTGCTAAACCAAGCTTATACAATATCATTTTGCATGTTTGCGATAATTAACCCGTGAAAATGAAGCCTCTAAATTTTTATTGCTGTCTGTGTCTTCAATTGCAAGATTTACCCTTTATTTATGTCCTGGTGGCCATGGTCACTGGAACAGAAAGTGATGAGAAATCTAAAATGTTATGGTTATTATGGAAACAGGTAGAAACTTCAAGGGTACCTGTTTGTTATGGAAGAGGCTACAGAGGGTACAGGGATGAGGGAGGCCTAATGATGCTAAAGACTTCATTGTCAGTCGATGGTATGGATGCACCGATACTGATACTAGTATTGGTATTGGTGCAGATACCGAGTATTTGGGAGAGTGCTCCTACCAAGCCAATCAGCATGGAGCCGGGTTCCCAGCCAATCAGGATGCCAGGTGGCGGGTAATGACACGCCGCCCGGCTTTCTGATTGTCCAGCAAGCCAGCTCCATGCTAGCGGAAGTACCGGTATCGGTACTTGGTATCAGCGAGTACCAAAATATAAATATCGGTGCTCGTACTCAATACAGACAAATCGGTATCAGTGCATCCCTAGTCGATGGTCCTCAGAAATTGACCGGCAATCAGGCAAATTATCCCATGAACCCAAACTTTCCCAAACCGGTCTAATAAAACAACCATAAGCAATGGCCACCACCCATGAAATACATGCTTGTAAGAAACCTTGTTCCTGGCATCCTTAGTCAGTACATTCTGATCTCCAGCTGAAAGGCACAAAGACCTTGCAGACCACACACTCCTCTCACTAGCAGTGGAGACCAGGTGAGAAAATTACACCTAGGATGTGCAATTGTGGATGCAGGCACATAGACTGATGTCCAGTGACAAAACATACAAGGTCTAGACAACCCCTGCTGTAAAGATATGCAAATTAAACATTTGGCCTTCCTTCAGCACTGTTTTGTTATGTATATTCCGAATTAACTCTGCCCTAACTGGATCATGACAGACCTGTACTGTGTTTTTCAAAATGTTTATGAAAATATGATTTAGATCTACTTAGTCGTGGCTGGGAAAGGAGAGGTACATTAAATGCTAGACTTTAGGCAATTGTGCACATTCAACCTTGTGATAACAGTTTGGAGAAAGCTCTTTTCTGTTCCAGCATAAAAGTGTCCCCGTGTACAATGCCACCTCTATATGACTTGGTTCAATGAGTATGGTTTGGAGGAACTCAGGTAACATGCACAGAGCCTTGACCTCAACCCTAATGGACACCTTTTGGATGAATTAAAACAGCACTGAAAGTCAGATCTACTTGTCACACATCAGGACTCAATCTCACAATTGCTTTCTTGGCTAATAGGTACAGTATCCTAAAGTAACCAGCTGTGTGCCCATCAGGGGCGTATCTGCCGCAAGGCAAACAAGGCGTTTGCCTGGAGCGGCAGATTCCCTGAGAGCGGCACTTGCTGTGGTTCTCTCCCCTTGATAAATGTATTCATCAAGGGAAGAGAACCGTAGGCTATAGTAGTGGCGGGGACGAGGACGGTTGGGGACTAAAAATAAATGATGCCAAGAAGCCAGATTGTTACCCTGCACTATTAAGGGTCTCCAGTATTATAATAGATGTTCACGGTACTAATGAAAAGCCAAAATGAATTGTATCATTAAGGCCTGGTTCACACCTGGGCATTTAACAGCGCGTTCCTACGCGCTGTAAAACGCTCAACATGTGAAAACCAATAATTGCCTATGGGCATGGTTCTCACCTGGGCGTTTTACAGCACGTAGGAACGTGCTGTAAAACGGCCTACGCCCAAAGAAGTACAGGAGCTTCTTTGGGGCATATTTGCCGCGCGTATCCATTGGACCCTCGGGAACGCGTGTAAAAACGTGCGGCAAACGCGCATATTCCGTACGCCAAGGTGTGAACCTAGCCTAAGGCCCATTGACAGAACCCAGGAGAGTAATAAATGTAACAGTATACAATCATACACATACATTTTCACTGTGCAGTCTTTATCATTTATTTATTTTAGGTATTTATATAGAGCTGACAAATTATGCAATGCTTTACATACTGTACATTCACTGCCCCCAAGGAGCTTACAATCTAAGATCCCTATCTCACATACATGTACACACATACTAGGGCTAATTTAGACAGGAATCTTTTAACCTACCACCATGTCTTTGGAGTGTCGGAGGAAACACACAGAAGCACAGAGAGAACATGCAAACTCCAAGGAGAATTTGTCCTGTACTGTATTCAAACTGAGGGCCCCACCACTGCAAGACAGGATTGCTAACCATTACGAGTCTGTGCTGTCTTTTTTTGCAGTTATACTGCAAATGAACTGTGATTTGTGTTATTATCCCACCATGGTCCTGGGTCCCATAGCAAATTCCTTTTTACTTTAGAAGTTAAAGGGTTGGGGTTTATGCAACTAGATTACAACCACATGACCATCTATGACAGTCTGTACTGATGTGTACCATTGGCAGGGCTGTCTTTAACACAGGGCAAAAGGGGCAGCTGCCCAGGGCCCAGTCATTGTGGGGCCCACAGCAGCTGCCGCTTGAGCAGGTCATGTACTGCAAAACTCCTACCACTGGCCCTGCATCTCAGCACTGACAGCAGAGCGCTGAATGATCGCAGAGCGGGTCACACATAGAGAAGAGCTGGGTGGATGCCCTCCCCTTCCATGCCATGTGTGTGCGCTGGAGGAGGCGGTTTTGCTATGGCCTGGACCCCGATGGTCACTGGCCTTTTCACCTGGATAGGGGAGAGGGAGCCTGATGGGTGAGGGGACTACAGCCTGAATCAGGGCAGCAGGAACGGCAGCAGGAACGGTGGGTGTCTGATGGGGAGGCCCTGCATGTCTGTACTGGCTGCTGCATGTGTGAATTGGGGAACACTCAACGTCCAGAGAGAAGGGTCACTACATGCTGCTTGTCTGTATGTGATGGGGGTCACTATGGTGCGCTTCTGTATGTGATGGGGTCACTACATGCTTTCCATGTACATATGATGGGGGACACTGCGCGCTAGCCCGTGCTAGAGTAAGGCTGCAGAGACAGTTTTCTGAGGGCGCCGGGGGAGAGGGGGTGAAATATGCACCTTCACCTGTGGACACAATAATCCTTGCACCAGCCCTACCCTTGAGCCCGCAAAAGATACACGTGCGCCATTCTTCCGTTTACTGTGCAATCGGTATTGCATAGTGTTGTTCCGCCCCTGTTGTATAGGCGTATGCATGGGCGAAATTGCATGGCGGGGGCGGGTAGGGGGTGTATAGTAGTGGGGGGCCCCTAGAAAATGTTTGCCCAGGGCCCAATCAGTATTAAAGACGGCCCTGACCATTGGGGTGGTGCCTGATGTTGGTTCTACCATAGGCACCTTCAAAACAGCATCATATATCGGTACTCGTACTCAGACCCAAAAAAGTGGTATCGGTGCATCCCTAATATCCACTACTGCAGGAGTCCTACCACTGACACTGACATGTTCAAGCCTTCATTCATTAAAAGAATGTGCCATGTAGCTCATGCAATGTAAAATAATGGATACATGCATGTATACAAAGTATGTATGCCAATGTTATTGACCACAATTCTATGCTACAGCACACAAACACAAACCTAATCAATACATGCAGTAAATGTATATAGGAATTTAAAATAAGCTGCTACAGCACCTCAAATGAGGGTATGCATAGCAACTATATAGTCTAAATAGTGCAGTGCTATTTTCCCATCAGCTTACAAGAACAGTTTACAAGCTATTTTATACTCATTTTCATGTCAAGTCAAAAATGCATATCACAATGATAAAAACATAAAAATAAATTAGAGAAGCTCAAAATGTAGTTTTCCTCTACCAACATAATGGATCTGGGGGGGTTGCTGATGGGGTGAGGAGGAAGGTTTTGTTAGGGAGTGGAAGATTTGTGCTTGGGGGTAGGTATACATAGTCCTGAACCCTGTATTCTGAAGAAAAAAAATACTCCAAACCCCTGTACTCTGACCAATCCATACTTCTCATACTTCTGACACCTGAACTCTGTGCTTTATATATTTCTGACTTCTTCACTCTGTTTGTTACATACTACTGACCCCAGCACTATGTGTGTTGCATACTACTGACCCCACAGTCTGTGTATTGAATTCTACTGACCCCGACACTTTGTGTGTTACATACCACTGACCCCTGTACTCTGTACATTCACACTCCTGGTACCTGCACTCTGTGTGTTACATATTACTATCCCCTGTACAATACATACTCCTGACCCCTGCAATTTGTCCTCCATTACATACTTCTGAGCCCTACAACCTGTGTGTCACCCCGCCGATACTCTCCTGATACTGTCGGGCATTCGGTCCATGACCGAGCGCCCGACCTTTCAGAGGGGGGTGACACCAAAATGACTGTGAGTCATTCTGGTGTCACCCCTCCAATGCTGTCACCCGTGTGCGGGCCGCACCCCCCGCACCTCCCTTGTGGCGCCACTGGATATAGCATGCAGCCATAATTGCCTCTCCCCAGTATGTGGTAGACAGGTCTGCATCAATCAGCATGTTCCTTTTCTTTTAGGCTGTAACCGCGCTATAACTGGACTGTGACTGTGCCTGGGCCCATAACCTGTTGGAACTTCTTGCACTGCCTCACAGAGAAAAACAAGCACACAGTCTGATATGCATGCTGCTCATGGCTTGAAAAACAGGAAGGAAGCCACAGCTTTATTCTCTACCTTATTCAATACAACAGAGTATCTACCATAGATACTGTATAACAGAACTTATAAACACTGCCATCTAGTCACCAAAAATTGTATACTGCAGTAGTTATTGCTATAAATACAATAATGTGTATTCTAACACTAGGTTCATTTGGTTTCCCCTAATCAATCTGTCATCATTTGCATCTGTCTGCTGCTGGGGGTACTGCTGGGTGTTCCGTGGTCACAGAGCAGAGCGACCAATGAGAGATTGCTATGAGTTAATATCCCTCTCCAACTAATCACTGTTAAACAATGGCCATTCTAGAGGTTTCTTACAGAGGTAACACAGGGAGACCTGTTAATTATTTTACTGTAGATCACCCCTTAGGAGCCAATGGTAGTTTTATCCTGCATTGGCATATCACTGGTCGAGTAAGGGGGACGTTACACTAGCATGATGTGACCACACCCACCATTCACCACAGCACACTATGCATGCCTCATCATTGCTTCCTTCAGGGTGCCTAAGAATGCCCTAAGTATTTCACAATAGAATGGAGATGTTACTAGAGTCCCACTCTGTTTGTTGTTTAAATGAGGGAGTATTTCTATCAGGGACACAAGCCATATTTAGTACTGGCTGGGGGAGCAAGTGCCCCCCAGCACTGTCCTTTTCTTTTCTCCGATCCGTTCCAAAAATATTTAGCTATTGTGAAGTATAGAATATTCCAGAACATGTTTATTCCATCCATGTTTTATTTTGCAGACCACAGCAGTCTGGGTGGTAGGGTTTCTTTCTATAATTATTTTCCCCTGTTTGCAATATTTTCTTGAAATTTACAATGAAAGGGACATTCTTTGTCTTTATTGAAACATAACATGAACAAACGGTAAAGGCTTTGACCAGCTGCAAGAGCCTTTACATGGGCGGAAAGTTGGGACAGGTCAGATTATGATGTATGCAGTCCCCAGATAAAAGGAGCAATTAACTATTCAGTCTCATAGCTGTTACTGGTGTCATCTCTGTCCTTTGTATACCCACAGATGAGAATTGCAGTACAAGTAGTAGATTTTTTAAAATAAGATACCTTAAAGCACATCTACCATTGTATATAGTATATACAGTATGTACTGCTTTGCCACGTAACATTGGCATTACCCAGAATAATGTTCTCCTACTGTACAGAACATAGGTGTGTGCACAGGGTGTGCCAAGTGTGCCTGGGCACACCCTAATCAGCTGAGCGCAACACCAAAACTGCAACAGGGGGCATCATGTTTAGAGTCACTGAGCCGGTAGAGAGATCACAAAGATCACTCTGTGACCGGCTCAGCATTACAGAGCACAGACGCACTTTCCACTTACATTCCTCGCATAACAGTCACAGTCCTTGGTGCCTGGGAAGCTGCAAGGTAGCGTGGCTGCCGCTTCTTAGGCTTCCCATCCTTTTAGAAAGCCGGGCAGGTGGTCACATGCCAGGCTGTCTGCTTCATTACTGCAACCTTGCTGGAAGAGGTAAGGGACAGATGAAGAGATGGGAATACGGGATGTCTTCATCTAGTCAGTCTAGGGGTTGATTTCCAGCTGCACCCTTTAGCACTAACCACCCATAAATTGATGTCCACTTCAGTATTATGATGCTAATTGAACAGTTTATTGAACACATTCTGTGGGAGAGGGGGTATAGGGGTTTTGAATGCCTAGGGTGACCATTAACAACTCCAGACTCACCAGACTTTGCCATAACTGTGATGCAGATCCACAATCCAGGAAAGAAACACTGACCCTGCTCTGAAGTCCACATAGATTAGAAAATGTACTGCTGTGACCCAAAAGAGAAGTAAAGCCTAAACAAAGGACTGGCATTACTTCTCTTATATGGCTGAACTCCAGGCAGATATAACACATCATTAAATGTATTTTTTAATGCATGCTGTATAAGTACCTGAAATTGTCTTGGTATCAACCTCTTGCAGTCCTCTGTACAGCAGAACTCAGACTAGGAGGGGCAGCAAAGAATGCCCATCAGTTGTGACAGCAAGGCACATGCTAATAGCAGGAAAAGGCTAAGAGACAGATGAGTTTAGCATTTTGCTGCTTTAAGCATACTGTGCACAAGTGTGGGTATGACTGCACTGTGGAAACCTAAGTCACAAAAAAACTCTCTCACTCCTCCTGTTTGGAGTCACTCAAATTTTCCTAAAAATATTAGCCTAGAGTTTATTTGTTTATTCTGGATCATTACTGTTTAAAATGTTCCTGCAAAAGGTATAATGTTTGTATGATCTCACACATAGCATGCATACATAACAGCCAAGCCCGTCTCTACCCTGTACGCTGCTTGAGGCCATTGAGGGTCGGTTGTTCGGGTTGTGGGTGCTGGTGATAGGGGGTAAGGTGGTGTCAGATGGGGTGGGATGAACCACTGACGTCACTGGTTGCCAGGAGCTTGGTGGGACGCCAGCCAGAGTGTCCTGTTCAGCTCCCTGACAACAAATGATGCCTGTGAGCTGGACAGGAAGGAGGGACAAAGGATCACATGTTACTAAGAGCATTTAGCAAACTGGGACGCTGTGGCCACCCCTCTGCCGCCGGACCCCTCACGTGCTGCTCCTCTAATGATTGCAAATGTACCCCAAATCATATTCAGAAAAGAGTGCATTTATTGTTATTGTACCTTATAGGGAATTGTGCCGCTATCCTCTATAACCTCAGTGATTTATTCTGATGACATATTGTTCCTTTTATACCTTATAACCTTGATATTTGTAATATGTAATTGTATGTAATTGTATTTGTAATATTTGAACATTAAACTTTGGCATCAAAATTTCTAAACTTCAAACAACCATCAGCATCACTGAACAATAAAAAAAAAAAGGTTATACAGGATTAAGGAGTGAAAATCTATAGCATGATTATGCAATTAAAAACTAGAAAAACTGGCCGATTAGACAACATAGTGCGTTAGTTCCATTTGTGCCCTAGGAAAAATTAATATGTTGACAATACATATTTATCCCATGCATATAAATGTTGTGCATTTGCACACATTGTTACATTGTCATAACAGCTGCTCACTATGACTGTTCTCACCTACCTCCTGACAAGGATTGACTTGCTTTTGTATCTTACAACATGCATTTTATTGTTTTTCTACTGGATCAATGGATCTACAAGCAAAGGAAAGATGCCTCCGGGCCCTAAGCCTCTTCCTTTTATCGGGAACCTCAATCTGGTGGACCTGAAAAAGCCATATGAGTCCCTAATGGAGGTAGTACCATTTAATATTAATATATGGAAAGGATGTTTAGATAACATCTCTCTGTATTTACTGTATACAGTATATACATGTATACACATGCAATATTACACATGCAATTTGTATTACAAGTCTATTAGTTGCTTATATTATACTGTTGACAAGCAAATAGTAACTGTGCTTGAACTCTGTCCTGTGTTATACAGCCAAATTTTAGGAAGATGGGGAAAGTTGCTTAAAGGAATATCATCCTTTTTTTCACCTCCATGATTTAGTAAATAAATTGTTAATATAAAAGTTACGCGCTTCTGGGGCTTGATACTTGAGTCCTGTTTAGGGCTATAAACAACACTCTCATACATGGAAGGACAGGGATTCTGGCTGTCCACAGAGGGAAGGAAGAAGGAGGGCCCCTGTGCGGTGCACAAAGGGTGTGGCGTTGATGTCCACCAACGTCTTGGCCTGGTTACGTTGTGGGCGGGACTTTGGTGTACTTTAGAGTAGAGCAGATGCCCTCTGTTTTCTCCATACTTTTGCTAGAGACTGCTGGGGGAAGGTGAGCGGTGCTGCTGGGTACATAAAGGTCACTCTGGAGTAGTGGGAGCCTCTATGAAACTGTGCAGAGTGACAGTCTCTGTAACCGACAGCATCCCATGCATACATTTTTTGAAAGCATAATTTGGTATCATCAGCAGTTTCCAAAATGGAACTCCTAATTCCAATCTCAGTGTAATTTATAAACAGGTTAAACAGCATTAGCTTCAATATACAGTAGGACACTGGGGCACACCACTCACAACACTAGACCACTAAGGCCACTAAGCAAGCTTTCTATTCATGTACTGAACATACAGTTGCATTCACACTAATAGAGCTTAGTTTTTAAATGAAGCATTGTTGGGCACAGTGTCAAATTCTTTTGCAAAATCCAAATAAATTGCGTCTACTGCCTTACCACTATTCAAGCTAATGCTTACTTACTTCATAGAATGCCAACAGGTTGGTCTGACAAGAGCAGCCTCTCATAAATCCCTGTTGGTAGTTACTTACTTGCTAAGTCCCTTAGCATTCCCTCAAACACTTTGAATATTATTGCTGTTAGGCTAACTGGTCTGTAGTTTCTTGGTATACATCTAGACCTTGGAATACATCTAGATCACTGCACTCTGTATGCTGGGAGTACAGTGGTCAGATGTATGCAATGTATGGCACTATACACAGAGGACAGTTGTCAGGAGTATAAGATATATCACATAATATACAAAGAGCAGCAGTCAGGAATATGTAATGTACAGCGCGCTGTGATTGGCGGAGGGTTGCCATGGCGATAGAATGCTGACCGGATCGGGAGCCGTGCTGTGTCAGATTACACAGCGCGTACCAGCGGTAGTTCCGCCACTGTTATCTAGCATGATACACAGGAAGTTTTCTTACATATATGTTACCTGCACAATGCTGTATTCTGATCAGTGGCGTAACAATAGCCATAGCGACCCAGGCGGCCGATACGGGGCCCAGGCGGGCCCGGCCAGGACACCCCCCTGATGCCGTGAAGGCCGCCTGGGTCGGTTTGGGTTTGAACGCACCGCTGTTCAGATCACCGTGATCTGTGCAGCGCTGCGTTCTTCTCCATTGCCTCTGCTGAGTCAATGAGAGTCAGCAGCGGCGGTGGGGGAGGTTGGACTTGGAGGGGAGGAGGAGGCGGGGCCTGGGGGCCAACATCAGAGAAGGAGGCGGGGCCGGTGACGGAAGAGGAGGTGGGCGACGAGGGACGGAGCGGGCATCATTCCTCAAGATCTCAGTGCTTCATCTAAACGCATAACCAACAGTTATCAGGGAAAACAATTAATTAGACAAGTGTAAAAATCTTGTGCAATTACTACTGTCTCCTCCTCTACCACCGTAAATAAACAGTGTAAGTAGCATCCATCCCTTCTACAACCATCTCCACTGGCAGGAATGTACAGTATATATGACTGGGTATGCCAGTCATATATGTTTTAGATTTGCAGATGCTACCAGACTTTGATCTATGTGAACTGCTCTGCTAGACCATTTGCCTTTTGCTGGCCCTCTCCTACTCCATTAGGCTGGCTACACTTAGTATCACACTAACAAAATCAGATAGTGGAATATGTTACTAAAAGCAGTTTGATCTGTGGGTGGTTGAGCACTGCACTTGGCCATCTTGCCACCCCACACTATAACCTTTTTTTGACTTTATGGAAATCCGGCCCTGGAAGCTATTGTTGTGTTGATACAAAATCTCAGCATGTCTGCTTTCTGTTAAGCTGCGTCAACCCGTAACGGACATGGGCAGCAGTGTTGGCAAGGGGTGTATACTCTTCTTTTTTAACTTTACTTTCTGCACTTTTAGTAACGTACAAGTAGGGAGACTTCAGACAAATTCTTCCTGACAAATCCACGCAAAAAAACTTCTCCAAAACAAGGACTTCTTGGTGGCCACATTTTTATATGCCAGGCTAATCAAAATGATTTTTTTTGAATCGCAGCTCTCAGAGAAGTATGGAGAAATATTCACTATACACTTTGGACCCAAGAAGATGGTAGTGATCGCAGGATACAGCGCTGTGAAGGAGGCTCTGGTCAACCAAGCTGATGACTTTGGAGAAAGAGCAGTTATGCCAATCTTCAAACTATTAGCTAAAGAAAAAGGTAAGTTTAGAGAGATCATTTTATGTAATCCTTATTTTTTTCTGAAGAAATAAATCTTTCCAACAATTAATTTTGAAAGTTCCCTTTGCCTGACAACATTAGTTTTTTTAATACCAACTTTAGCAATATCCAGAACATGTTTGGTTCACCACAGGTTTTGTATTCAGTTGGCCTATATGGTGGTTGATGACCACACATAAGTAATCATTATTCAAACATTTTATTTCTCTTTGCATGTTCTAGTATTTGGTACAATTCATCCAAATTAGTCTAAAGATAAGTTTCTAATGCACAAACTGTGAGCATGGGTTATTGGAAGTCAGCCTGAGTACAGCAATGATTTACAGAGGTTTCTGTGACACCAACACTGGTGCAGGAACATTTCTGTCTGAGCTTTCACATTTTTTTAAAAATTCCAAAAGCAAATCAGTTGCTGAACTAACTGGAATTCAACTTTGAGTAGTGATGAATGTTAAAGGCTCAGTTACACAATTGGTGGAAGTAATCAAAATGGGAGCAGACAAAATCTACGGCAGTTGCCCATTGCAACCAATCAGCTTTTCTCTTCAGTTTGTTCAATTAAGATTTGAAAATGAAAGATATAAGCTGATTGGTCGCAATGGACAGCTGCTCCAGATTTTATCTGTTCCAGTTTTGATAAATTTCCCTCCATGTGCTTTGAGCTGCCTTGATCTGCATGCAGACTCAACGCAGGGGTGCGTAGAAAACAATTGTGTGCCCTGAACACACCATAACACTGTGTTGAGGTGTGTTGTGCTGTGCTGCATAAAAATGTGACACTTGGTACTGCACCACAACACGTCAGAGATGGATTGGAATGGAATTTTATTTTGTGGCACTTCAATAAAGTTATAAAAACAAAAAAAAGTAAATAGTACCAGCATGAGAGCTAATGTGGTCAAGTCCTTATTGATTGCTTATTATCATTTACTGCACTTTGGGCATGGCTCTTATGCACTGGTGTTAGACAATAAACAACTTGCTTGTTTACATAACATCATCTTTATTTTAGGTATAGTATTTAGTAATGGAGAACCTTGGAAAGCCATAAGGAGGTTCACACTCTCAACTCTTCGAGACCTTGGAATGGGGAAGAAAACAATAGGAGCCAGAATACAAGATGAATTAATTCCTCTTATAGAAAACTTCAAGTCACACAATGGTAACAAGTCCTATTAACTTAAATTGTTTAAAATATATACCTTTATTACAAAGTCCTAATATGAGCTACCTATGGAAGGAGCCAGACACAGATAGGGTCATTCTGATAAGGCCTAAATGATTAAAAAATATTCCTTCATTTGAGGCATAACGTATTACATTAACGCTAAGATATCATTTTTTAAACAAAGATAACAACTAAAATGGTACTTAAGCCTTATGTCTGGATAATAAAAACCTTGCTACATTTTATGCTGATTTTGTTTAATATAAAATAAAAATGTTCAATAAAATGACAAACACCAATTTACATCACAAATGGACTAATAAGGTCAACATAGATGCTTTAACAATGATATAAATGTTAAAGGTTAATATACAAAAATAGGGACATATCTGTTTATTCATAATTAAACAGCAAGCAGAATTTTATATTAATTACAGTGTTTAAATAAACTACAGCCGCACCCCAACAGGTTGGGGCTTATGCCATAAATCTCACAAATGGCTGAACACAAGGGAGTAACCTGAACTTTCTATATCAGATGCTTTCAATGACTCATGCAAGCGTCAGTCTTTCTCTAGTGAAGAAAATGGAGCATCAGTGATCTTTGATATAAACAGATGTGGAGATTCCCAAAGTAGGATGCCTATATACAGTAGACATTACCTTGTGTATTGGGCTCATTTACAGGATGTGTTATTTTTGCTATATATATTGTGTATTATAGCCCCTTATCATGCACAATAATGGCAATGAATGAATATAATTATAGTTATAATAGTTATTTACCCAAGATTTATCAAAGGGTCTAAAAAATAGCCTGGTCTGTTCTATTATAGCAACAAGTTGCTTTAGAACATTTTATTTGATGCAGCCTTGAAAATGAAAGGAACAGATATACTGTACATGTCTTGTAGAAACACATATATATGTGCCCTGTGTCTATACACATGTGTCAGTATGGAAACTATCCTTTTTACCCTGTAGTCACTAATTATTGTTCCTATTGCAGGTATCATTTTCAAGGACACATTTTAGTCTCAGTGGTGCCTATTCAGTGCTGTGTATTAACATTTAAATACCCAATACCCAACATTTCTGCAGACTCTTTCATATTTAAAGCCACATTTAGCTGATCCCACAGTGTAGTCGAAATATCAGACTGCTTTTATGAACAATTCACAGCAAATTCACCAGGGCTATTCTGTTTTTTTTCTTTAACATGTTCTAGGTGAACCATTTAACACAACCCTCATAATAAACTGTGCAGTGTCCAATGTTATCTGCTCTATCATTTTTGGAGAAAGGTTTGATTATGATGACCCAATGTTCAAAAACATTGTTGAAATTACGATGGAAAATGCGAGACTGGTTGGCACACCAAAAGTAATGGTAAGCATTGCTTTTTTTTTTTTTTTTATGGTCAGCGTAAAATTTATTAAAACAAATGTAGACATACAGTATGTAAAGTTCCTATTACCCCCATTGCAGCCATATAGAGAACCCTACCCTAAAGCAATAACATAGTGGAAAGAAGTGTTGGACTCCTGTCTTCCCAGAGTGCCCTCCAAAAGCCAGTCCTGAAAGCGTTAAATGATCTAAAAAGCATAGTACACAAGTGCATTCGCTTGGTTTTCCACTGCGGCAATTTGCCAAGGAAAAAATAAATAAGTGCAGCACTATACCTTTATATCATACCCCAAACCCTATACAAAATCAACTATAGTACAACATACAAACAATATATGAAAATATATATAATAAATGAAAAAGTTCCAAAAAAACATGTGAACACAAATTACACCGGGAGCAAATCCAAGTACGGTACTTATGTACACCCCAGTGCACATTCATCTTATACATTCATCAAGTCCATTTAGATGTCCATTATTGTATGCAACGTGTTACTCCAAATCAAAGCAAAGTTAAATGTGTTGCTCCAAATTATCCCTTTCAGGCAGGGTCACTCATAAAAGCAGATTTTGCCTAAAAGGGAAAAGTGGACGCTTGATGATGCTTACTAACTAATAATTAAGGTTGCCCTGATAAGATGAGTTTTAGTCCATTTGAATGTGGAATGGAACACAAAGGGTGTTTTAGAGAAACACATTTGCATGTTTTTCTTTTGTTTGTGTGGATAATTAATTTATTCATGTGCTGACTGATAACTTTTGGAATAAGAAAACGGTAAGAGCACAGAAGGTTTCTCACGGTTATAGAAAAATAATATTCCCCAGAATGTGACTATGCCTTATGCTACAGGCTACCTTTGGTGGGATCCCTACTGGTAAAATGTTTGCCAGGGGAACAAGGATTGCATGCCACAGGGGTGCTGAGTGTGTTCAAACGTTATTGTGTACATAGACCAAAGTCCTAAGGATTGCTGATTTGTCTCCACAGCTGTTTAACTTTTTTCCTCGTATCTCAACCCTTCTTGGAGTACATAAAGAACTCAAGCAGAATTATGATGATCTCAGTGAGTTTGTTTTAAAGCGCATCAAACATCAAAGACAGGAGTTGAATCCAAATTCTATCTCTGGATATATTGATGCATACCTTATGAAGCAAGAACAGGTAAATGTTTTTATATTTAATATATGCTGAATTTGTAAAGCTGAAGGCATTGATTTAAGGAACATTGTTTTATTTTAAAATTTGCCTCACAGTTTGAGAACTCAGTGCAGTGGTACTAGATGACAAGTTGAGAAGTCACTTGGATCATTCAAAATGTTGTTCTGCTCCTCAACCAGATTCTGCCGGGCACTCTCTAGTGTGACATCACTTACATGACATTCTATTTCTAACAGTGCATGCTTATTTTCACTGTGTTGACTTTTTTTAACACGGCAGTTTCTCTCTAAAAGGGAAACACTAACATGGTAGCCTCTCTTTTACAAGGAAGTCTTTCATTTGACAGCCTCTCTCCAACAGGACAGTCTTCCTTTCACTCTTCACAGTCTCTTTCATGACAGTCTCCCTCTAACAAGATAGGTGTTTTTTTTTTTTACTTCTCTCTAGCAGAATCTATTTTTATTCTTCTCATCCAAATATTGTCCTGTATGCTAATGAGCGTGTATATCCTCACTCCCAAAATAAAGCACATGCAGTTCCCTGCAACCTTGCCAGTCTAATGGTCACTAATCCAAACCAATAACTATCTCTTTTCCAAGACATCCTCCTGTTGTTAACTAGTGTATTGGTTTGAAAAACAGACAAATCAATCCAATGAGTGAATTGTGTATTTTTTTGATTCTCCTGAATCTATGTATAAATATTTGCCTAGTCTGCAGGGAATCCTACAACTGGATTGCTTGGATTTCAAAAACTGTATGATTTCAAAATATGTATTCTGTAAAGATCAGATATATATACCTGCAGATATCCAGAAGGTTCAACTAGGGGTCTCCTGATTTAGCCATTAGTCTAACTAGCCACAATTCCTAAATCTTCTTCAGACTAATGCCCACCCATGACTACCTTCTTAACCAAATGCATCAGTAATTTACTCTCCCAAACCAATTTTTTCACTATATTACTAATTTAGTACAATGGGCTGTTTTTTTAAAAGACAACAGGAAGCAAGAGGATATCTCGTGAAAGTGAAGGGAATGCCTCAAACAATTGTATCTGAAACACATGTCCCTATTGGAAGATTTCCCCTCTTCCTTTTCAGGAAACAACTCCAAAATGTGAGCTCTTTGTCTCGATGACATTAGTCACCAACAGAGGAATAAATCTACGTAGACAAAAATAAAAATCTGAACTCGGTTCTAACCCTTCCACACTACATCAAAAAAAAATAAAAAATTTGGGGTTTACATATACTTTAAGAAAACATTGGAAAGAGAGAAAATGGGCCAAGGGTCCTTCATAGT